ATGTACATGATTTGGTGTAAAAATTTTAATTAAAAAAACTTACATACAAACGAAAACATATTACCTTTTCAGCAGTTATAAATCCATCAGTTGCCCTAACAGTGAGTTGCAAGCTATACAGACTAAAGTGCCACAAGCAAATGGATGAAAAAGCAAGACTGTTTATGGCAGAAACACCTTCCTGGCCTACTTTTTCTTATGCCAGACAGACGGTAGAATTTCGTGGGGAAGTCAGCAAAGGATCAGTTTTGAAGAAATATGTTAAATAACAACTTTGTGAGCCCCTGTAGCTATGATTATGGATAACACGAGGATATATGGCATCTTTCAAGCAATAATCATAAAACCCAACATTCTATCACAAAACATCAACAAAGCTGTCAGTGAAAAACAGACGTCTGTAGAATCAAAATGTGGAGAAAGAGAGGCATTAAATAAAGATGGGATTTGTTTTATAAAATACCTTTTAGCGATTCCTTTCTCCAGAAGTTCTACAACTTGCTTGTAGTCTGTAACTAAATGTTGAGACAGTCCTGTCAAACATTTAAAAAAAAATAAATCTATATTTTTCTCAGAGGTTTCTGTCACGTAATTTCATTTCTCACTGGTGAGTTATAATGACAGTTTACCCAACATCTGGAGCATCAAGTCATTCTCACGGGATGCCTGCCTGTTCTGCATAATGTCTCAGAACTAGTTTAAACATTTTAGTTAAAATAAAACACTGCAAGCCATCCTTCAGATGCAGCAACATTAGTATTAAAATGCCTTTCACTGGCATTTTCCAGTGAAAATCAGCTTCCACTTTCTCCAACTGATCAATGGAACTATATCATTTTAAAAATGGTATAGTTGAAAACTCCCCATGGAGATAAAGTCATGTCACTGCTATTAATTGGGTACATATCCTGTACTGGAGCTTTTAGCTGTTGCCTCTGGATAATGATTCTGCTCGCATGACTCACAGAGTTAGGAACCATCCGCTGTGTAGAATATTTAGCATGTACTTAATTTTAATTAGCCTTGGGCTCGCAACACTTTGAGTCCTGATGCTCTCTATTCTCCCCAGAGGGTATCCAAACCACAAAATGAAACATGTAGCATTTTATACCTCCTGCTTTCAGGATTTTTAAAAATTTGATTGCCTTTTTAAGGAAAAAGCCCCAAACAAATGAGAGAAATACTGCATTGCAGAGCCGAGCGCAGCAGAACGGTGGCTGTGACTAACGCAGCCCCAGTGGAGGGCAGCAGGCTGCTACGCTGTGGTTGCACTGCCAGCACCTTGCAAAATGTAGATTCCAGCAGAGATACCCAGCTAACGGCAGCTGCCTTGTACTTCACATAAATCCAGCTTAGTGTTTCCTTTGCATTTTCTGGTGAAAAAAACTTATCATTTGCACTGCAGAGACTCCTAAAAAGAGCCCCTGAGTTGCGAGGCAGGACTTATTGCACAACGCACCCTAGTGAAACAAGTCTTCTCTTAAATGTTTTATCGCAAAGTTAGAGTCCAGGACAATGCCTTTTTTTAAAAACAACAACAACAACAACAACAACAACAACTTTGCTTCTGCACTGATTCAGGTTTTGCTTTTGTTTTACTGTAGGCCACAGCAGTGTGGATGTCAGAGTATTCAAAAAAATGTGATTTATTTGAATCAAACAATTTATCTACAGCCAGAGTGCAAGTCAAGATGATTTTAAAAATTTGACATGGCAGAAATGACTTTTTCTAATATTATTAGAGAGTTTCTCTCCTTAGATGACAGTGTCTTGCTTAACTCTAAATGAAAGTGAAATCTAGCCCAAACACATGAATTTATGTTTGTCCTTTAACAACTGATACACAGAAAGGAAAAAAAAAAAGTATTTGGGTTACCTATACTTAAAATAATTCCCATTACTACAGTGTATGCACACTAACACACATTAAACACGGGATGATTTTCAAAGAAAAGTATTTCTTCTACTGTGTAGCAGTGTAGCTTTCCAACACAATAATTCCAGAAGCCGTCACATTTTCCACTTGAAAAAAGGGCCATTATTTTTTGAATAGCACTGGGATTTTTAAACAGAGAATATGGAAAGTACCATATATTGTTTTCCCAGACCGTTAGGATTTTATTTAACTGATCAACACGGTTATGATATAATGAAAGCATGGAGGATATTCTTACCTACCTACATTTCCATAGCACCAGCATACTGAATCTAGCACAAAGATCTAAAATAATTTGTTTTACAGTCTGGTAAATGAAGTATTGTGAATGCTGTTTGAGAAGAAACCACAGTGTACTTGTGACTGCTGGAAAAATCAAAGGTAGTTTTCAAGTACTATCGAAACATTGAAAACTTCCTCATCTAGAAAGCTGCCTCAGTGCGAGGCAGGATCTCCCCCAGAAATCTGCCTCAGAGTAACAAAATAGATTGCATCATTTCCTGATTTAAGAGCGGCTGATTCCTTAACAGTGCAACCATCTGTGAGGGAGAGGCTTGAACCTCTTCCAGCACTGAGGACTAAAACACTTTCAGCATTTTAAAGGCTACAGTCTCACAGCTTTTAGGCAGAAAAACGATGGGCTGGAAACCAGTCAAAGTACTTAGTGTTGAGAACTGGGATGTCCTAGCTGGACTGTAAATGGAATATGCATTGCCCACTAATAACAGGGCAACAAAGCATCCTTAAAAGGGTTAAATTGCGATTTTCCCTTCTGTCTGTTCTTCATCCAAGTGCTAACAGTGGTCTGGATATCCCTGACACCAACCACTACACACACTACAAGGGGGAGCTCCTCATGAAGAGGAGCTCGCAAGCCTTTCCTGCAAATGGCAAACACGGATACCTGTCCTTAACAGAAGGAATCTTAGGAAAATAATGGCAAATTTCGGAGTATTACCTGGTGCTCACTATTCTAACCCCTCCAGACAGCATACTGGCTGGAAGGGGAATACCAGATAAGCTGCCCTTCTACTCACTTTGCAGACAAGCCCCATCTCTGCCATGTAGCTGTTAGAAACAAGATCCTTCCCTGTGGTCCCGCACAGGGGGGCTACATCTAAAACTGCCGCAGGCTTCAGCACACAGATGGCCCTCGCTGCAGAGATCAGCGGTTGTTGACTGCAGCAGGACACCACTGCAGTTGTCAAGGGCATTTTGTACCAGTGTTGTGAACCACCTCATTTTCTTCAGTCGCATGCTACTAAATCTGAGCTAACTGCACTCCCCACCTGCATGCAGAACACCTCCTGCCTCTCTCACTGTTGCTCCTTTGGGACGTGAAGCAATGAGTGCAGCTCGACGTGGAGCTACGGAACAGAGCTTTTCTATTAATCCCTCTTGAAAGGATTGGCTCAGAAAAAACTGCTACAGTTCTTAATTGCAAAAACTGCATACACACATTTATTTATTTATATATATATCTCGCTAAAAAAAAAAGGAATTATGTCACCTGACTGCTGCCCCTAGCCACTGACTCACCAGCCTCAAATCACTTCCATTCACATGCTGCCACAGCAGCACGTAATAATACTTGTGATGCCTTCAGCAGAAATATCACTTCATTTTTCATGCGTGAGATCAGTTTTTCCAATAATGTGAATCACATTTATCCCTAAAAAACACTTTTTTTTCTTATAGCCATTAACACAAAGATTTTTGGAGCCTGACATAAGATATAGAAGATACAGAGAATCTTTTAAGAAAAAGCATTCACACTGGTTTTAATAATGTGTCCAAACCCAGCAAACACTACTTAGGTTAACAAGGTTTTGTACTTTCATATTAAAAAAAATCTTCTTGAAAGGGAAGTGTTAAGGGATATTTCAGAATTCTACCATAAAATTGTTCTACTTAAAATTTTTAGTTGCATACAAGTATAAAATTCTTATTCAAAAAGGGTAAAATTGAATTTAAAAAAAAAAAAAACAGAACCAGAAGAGATGACAGATCTAGCCTAGAAGTTTCCAGATGAGGACGGACTAGTGACAAAAGGCAAACCAGCCCATTTGCAGACCTCTGAATCCCAGCCACAACTTCATTTTCTTTTAAAACACGGAAGTTTCATTATATGCAGCCAAAGAATCATTGGAGATATAGGCTTGAGAAAAAGGATGGAAACTGCCAAGGAAGGAAGCAGTTTAAAGACCTTTTCTTGTGTGCTGAATGAGCAGCTGCTAAAAGAAAATAATTAGTATCTGTTCCCCACCAACAATGACGGTCTCAGATAACAAGCAGGTAGAGAAAGAATCTTGGAAAGACCGCAATAAAGACCAAGTGTCTACGAATCTACTTTTCAAGGAATGATACGTTTGCCATACTAATGAGACCGTCAATTCATCTATTTTCAACTCTCCATTAAATGGGCTGCTGATGTGCTGGGAAAGCACAGCTGAAAGAAACGCCGTGCCAGGCAGCACCCGGTGCCGGGGAGGCTACCCGACCCTACCCTACCCGTGAGACGCTTCCCAATTTTGCTTCTTTCAAATGAGGAACTGGTAGCCACCAGCAGGTCTTAGATGTCCTCTTTGGTACTGGTCCTGCGGGTGTCCTGGGAGCTGGGAATGCCAGGCTGCACCCATCACTTGGTCAAGTCTCCTATCTGTTGTCACATCTCAGCTGAATCTCTGAAGTGTGGATAACAACAGCCCATTTTATGACCTGGTGATAAGGCTTAATGAAAGGTGGATGGTGCATCCTGAGGTTCTAGAACAAAAGCTGACACTGCTGCTTCTTGGACTCGTGTGCCTAAAAAACCTAACTCTTTAGGGTTCTTCTATAAACTCAGACATAATAATTTATGTAGTTTCCAATTCTTATTTTCTATACAACAAACCTAGGTAATGAGAAGGAAAAACTGAGGGAGAAAAGTGAAGTAGGGAGAAGAGGGAATTTACAAAACAGAGATGAGAAGCCTATGCTTAAAAGCCAGAGCAAATCAGTATTTGATCTGAAATGACAGGACCAATAAAGCACTGTGTGATATGCATTTTGCATATTAAATGTGTCCTTCCCAGGTGTCGAGCATGTTACTACCCCTTGGTTGCCTGCCAAGCACTTTCCGAACCAGCAATTCCAGTGGCAAATTTGGAATTCTGCCCACAAGCGAGACAGATGCACTAAAAACTTGCCAATTTTTGAAGCCTGTCTCAGTTTGACTGTTCCTTCCAATCCCCATTATAAAGTTACTGTCTATGATTTAGCACACTGAGTTTGAGGAAGGCGTTTGAGTTTGACAAGTTTGAGTTTTGACAGTCATTGGTCTGATGCAGTCCAAGGTAGCAGGCAAGCTTTACATTAGGTCCTAATGAATTTACAAAGCACAATGGCTAAACTCCAGTCTAAAACTATGCAAGACCCTGAAGTAAGTGCATCAGTAAGAGGTGGAAAAAAATCCTACAAGCACAAAAACAAAAAGGGAGAAGAACTAAAACCAAGAAAGATAACTGAAATGGAAAAAATACGCTTTTTCATCCACTGTCCTCTGCTACCTAATGTGAAAAACTGATTTCACAGAAAACACAAAGCCCCACAAAGGGCTGCTCTTGCAAGTTTGAATTAAGAGTGGATTTTTTAAAAAATCATATTAAAACACCTGCTTTATCCAGCATAATGAATGGTCTGGGACACTATTTGTTTAGCTGAGGAGGTTCAGACACATTGTAAGTTGACTACTCATCACTTCCACCAATGGAAATGATTAAGATCATACCATCAATATCTGCGAAGAAATGTAAAGACCAGACACGCATTTACTTGAAATTCTTACGTAATCAGTGAAACCCACTCTCACCTTGTACATAAGGTCCTGTTTCAGGGTGTTCTCGGACTCGAAGGGTGTAGGGTTTCTTGTGGTCTGATTGTTTTAACAGATCTCGGACACGCTCATTATAGATTTCCAGAAAACTGAAAAGAAAAAAAAAGGAACGAAATCACATGTACTTGCTCTTCACACAGTGTAACTACCTGAATCTTTCATTAATTTTTCATGATTTTTCAGCTGGTGCATTCACTTTCATTACTTCTGCTACTGCCCTTTCCCACCGAGTGCACACGAAAAGAATTGACAAGTCAATTTGCAAGAAGCAAGAGACATTCACTATTTCATTTAAAAATTCATGAAATTAGCTTTTTCCAAAGCTAATAAGTCCAAATCAATTTCCCAACAGTTTCATTGGTTACTATAAGTGAATGAGTAAGAGAACTATGAATAAGAATGGAATTATGGCTCAAATTTAAGAGCTAGTCAAACAGCAAGAAAATTTAAAGCACTCCTGCTTTATTTGCCTCTACAAAAGCAAAGATGTAGTACTCTAAAGTAACACAGCATTTTCTCATCCTTCCTCCACTGTTCCCTGCCTTGCCCCAAAACCATCAACATATGTGAGAATATAAGCAACAACAAAAAACCCTTTGCTTTCTTTGATTATAGGGATATATTTTTGAAAACATTCACACCATTGACCAAAATAGTGACACTTACCTGACCTTTACTCTGCAAGATGTTATCTGGTTTGAGTAATCATCCTTCCTTGAAAAGAGGCCCTGCACAAACCAGAAGTTTCTGTAAATTTTCAATCTAACAGCTTAAACAAATGCAAGTGAAATAAAAAGATAGGTACCTCACATATACGAGGTGTCAACCCAATCGATGCCTGTAAATAACCATAATAATAAAATTAATACTATTTGCTGTTATCCTTTCAAACTTAATTTATTAAATAAAAGCCAAGTTATAAGGAAAGAAGGTGTGATGACAAAGCAACGACCGTGTAGAGGATCACAGTACAAACCTCCCTGGTGTGCAGTTTGGAGTGCTGCATGGCAGAGCACAGCTCAAGCACCTTGCACGTTGAACACTAAAGGGACTACCGAGCTGTGCAATGTCAGCAGTCTTGGCCTCAGTAAAAACCCCATTTACAGGAAAAAAAAAAAAAAGCCATTTTAGAGCAACTTATACAGCATCAATGAGAAGCAGAGAGATTTCATGGGCTAAACCAGTTTATTTCTCCTTAACCCTGAATTTTATAATTCTTCAGTTTGACAACTTTTTCAGGAAGTTAACCTTGACTTAAAACAAAATCAACAGAGAACCAGGCCATGATTTAACAAAATTCTGTTGATTTTAGTGAAAGGGGGAGAAAAAAAAAAGAGTAATCCAGACTATTGTGCAGAACACAAACCAGGCCGCACTGGCCTTTTTCTTCTCCTTGGGCTTTGAACAAATTTTAGCCTTGTTTAACTTTTTAAACAGAATCCTCTTAGGGGCAGGAAATAGAGGCCCACTTGTGCAAATTCTTAAATAAAACCTCTCTTGTTTATGGGTAACTCTCATTCTCCAGTAATCAAGAATAAACACAGATAAGGACCAGATCACCTTCTGTTGCAGCAGAGCACAGGAACCTTTAACTCTCTCCCCAGCAGTACTAAAATGCACTCTAAGTAGTTCCTAGCAGCCAAATGCCTTAAAGTACAACAGCTTCTACAAACACCATTCAAATCAATTTTAAAACTGGAAGCAAGTATTGGTTTCCACAAGGCAAAGACTAGCTTCTGCAACCAATAAATTTCTCAAGCAGATAATGAAATCTGCTACAAAAATATACCCATGAATTGTATCCATTTTCATTTGTGAAAATAATTTGATTTCAGCATGGCTCAGATACTCAAAAAAAAAGTAAGAATGAATATGTTGCATTGTCTTGTGCTTGTTGTATTGTGCTTCAAAAAAATTAGATGCTTTCAAGTGCATATTATTTTTTGTCTTCTAGCATAGCAATGAGATTTGTACATGGTAAGATGAAGGTTATCTAAAATAAACATTTAAATTATGCCTTATTTTCTGCCCCCTCCCCCCCCCCTTTTTTTTACTTGATGGTACATTATTAACCTAGCCATTTACCTCTCATTTTACATATTCATCTATACACACACCCCAAATAACACAGGAACAAGCATTCTGCTCAATTAGTACCATAATGCAGGCTTTAAAAATATAGCTAAATCTGTCATTGAACCTGAGGTGGTAACTCACAGGTGTTCCCATCATGGTATAAGTTTTTCCTGAACCTGTCTGTCCATATGCAAAGAGGCAGATGTTGTATCCTCTAAATGCACCCGTCAACACAGAGGTGCCGAGGTCCTGAAACACCTGGAGAGACCAAAAGAGAGAAAGCAGTCCGTGAGTAACATGCCTCCCAAGAAGCATTCAGCATTACTTAATCATTCCGCTTTCCTATCTCCTCTTGGATAAGGATTTCCTCTATGTTTGTGTTTTAATGTATCGCACACAATATGTTTTTTGCACCACATTCTCAGAATGCCAAAGCCAGGCTATAGCTCAGTTGCAGGAACGCTTGGTAAAAGTTTCCTGTCAAATGTACATTGGATCGCGTATACGCAGACTGACATAAATATGAATTATTTGCCATCACAAAGATTTAACATGTGTTTAAAAAGCCCAAAAGTGCACAAAAAGAGACAGAGAAGAGGTTAAAGAACTGAACAGTACAGAAGAAAGCTACTGAGAGGCACTTGAAGATGTCAGTTGTATGGGGAGACTAGGGAACAAAAGCATATAACCTAAGAAGAGGAAGAAATTTTAGCCCCAGGGAGGTCAGCAGCACCAGCTTGAGTGGCAGCATCAAAGAGGCCATAAAAGAAGGCTAGGAGAAAAAAAGAAGGCAGGCAAATAATAAGGTTATATACACAAAAAAACATCTGGAAGGGAAAAAAGAAAAAAAAAACCAGAATGACAGTGGTTTCTGAACACCGCAGGTAACAAGTGAAAGTTGCATTTGATGTGGTAATAGGAAAGGAAAATGTCTGTCTACAACAGCAGAACAGAGTTACCACAAAATCATCTCTCCAAGCTAGCACAAAACCAGTTCTTCCGTTACCACTTCAGTTATAAATATTCCCTGGCACCACAGCCAAAACTGTTTTCCTTATAAATCAAGTATGTACTAGAAAGTATGAAATAGGATCACAGGCAGCACTTTGTCCGTGAGATTTGCTTTCTGAGTTGTGGGAAAATGAAATAGCAGGAATGGGGGACTGCGTTGTCCTGGAGGCTGCCTGTAACATCTGTTTTTACTTACATCCCTCCTTTCTATGGAAAAGGCCACTTAAAAATAATGATTGAATAAATATATCAAACTGTGCTCTGATCCCTGTAGCTTTTATTTGGCTCTATCAGTGGGATTCAGGGGTATGTCTTGCGTAAGGACTGCAGTGGTCTGATTTACTGCTTTGGGGTTTTAATAATCTGACTGTATTAGGCCACGAGGAGAGAGCATGAAATGTGCCCTTCTATCGTGCCATCATAGCTCCTGCTTCTGAGGAGGGTCCCTGCAGTTGCCCCAGCCATTCTGCAATAGTTGTGACAACCTTCCAACCAGACACGCAGCCGGAGGTGGCAGCGTGTGGCGCGGCCCGCGCAGCGCGGCCTGTGCGACCGCTTGCAGGCCTCTCCTCCAGAGCACAGCCATAAACACTGCGCAAACCCTGCTCTGAAGCTTCTCCTTTGGGTAAGGCTGATGCTAACCCACTATTCTCTCTCAAGTGGCATTAAAGAAAGAGGTCAGCCCCATATTAACAGCATCATTTTAACACGGATTTGTTTTCTTCCATAAATTAATTCGGAGGGTTAATAAGAGCAGTGCAAACCACTGTTACGGGATTCTTGGCATGAGTCATCCATCAAGGCAGGACATAACCAAGGAAAGTTCTTTGTGTGGCCTATAGATCAGCCTCATGAGTTCAGAAAGCTGTTTTATTAATCCCCTACAGTAAACCTGTACACTGTGCAAGGACCAAACGGGGACTTAGAGCCAATAAAGACTCGTTAGCTAGACCAAGTTGCAACCAGCAGCTGTATATGTAATCTCCACTTGCCTCTTCCCCCCTGCCTCCTGCAATTCTTCATGACTGCTTCAGCATCCCCCAGCCTTCCATAGCTTCCTGCCACCCTATCACACATATCACATCCACTCTCAGCTATCCTTGGTCCTCACCACAACACATCCTGTGTCATGGGAGAGAGGATGTGACCGCCCAGCTGCTCCAACTGCTTTAATGGACCTAGGTATAACACCACACAACCTTCACAGACAAGCAAGCCTTTAGCATAGCAAGCGTAGAAGCCATCCAGAAATTAAAGCTGGAATCTCAGATCTGCATTTTATTTCCAGCTCTATTGCTAAAACTTTCCTATGACACCAGGCAAGCCACTTCACGTTTTTCTGGCTCTGTTTTCCAAGCAATAAAGTAGGAATAAAACTATCAACAGAAAGTTGTGAGATATTCTCATATGAGTTCATAAACCTCCCCCCTGCAACCTTCACTTAAATCCCAGCAGAGGCTTCAGCTGTGCCACCCATTGCACTCTATCCCTCTCCAGATTTAGTCAGATAGCTCTGACTAAAGAAATTTGTCCTCCAAAGCCCATTTAAGCAAAGCTCTTTTGCATTTACTCCATATAAAACACATGGGGCTCCTCTAGTGTTTCAAAGCAAGTATGTTTCAGATCAATCCTTTCTGAATTTGGCTTCAAGAGAATATACGTTACCACAAAATGAAATGGATAAGTCTGAAAGCAACACTATAATCTTACAATAATAGTGTATTAGAATTTCATCAATTTTTAACTGAAATCATATCAAAACCTGTTTTTTCAGGTAGACTAGTTGAGAACAGTCTCAATTTAATCAAAGAAGCTTTTTAGTTCTAGTGTACTGAAGATGATCGGATCTGCAATCATCTCTCCAGAAAACGGAGAGATAAATCACAGCAAAAAAATATGGATCATTTAAAAACAAAGAAGTATCTGAAATCAAAGCTTTTTCTGCACTAATGTCCAGACATCCACCAGCATCAACTGCTATAGATTATAGTAGATTAAGTCCTAAGACTCATCACTTCAAGACGTAAGTGTTAATGTATTTCATGATGTAATGGGTGGAACCCTGCCTTCTCTGTGTCATGGAAAAAAAAAAAAAAAAGGATTCTTCATGATTCTCCTATGTTTGGCAATGAAATATAAATTCAGAAAGATAAGAACACAGGCTGGGTACGGCTCCCTGCAGAGAGCGTGCTATTTGGCCAAGATGACTACATCTTTGCTGGATGCTTAACGTGATTGGCACTGCCCAGTCTGTAAAGGCTTTGCTATGCCTTGTTCTGCACTTGCTGAGCTGTATCTGGTACATATTCTATGGCTATTTGTCAAACATTTGATGTTTTATGACATGCCAACTGTGCTAATAGTAGAAAAAGATATCTTTCTGAAGAAATTTAGTGCAGCCTAATCGTTACTACTGAGTTTGTTTAATCCTGTTTAAAGTGAAAACTGGAAAAAAACCAAAACTATAAAGTGTATATAGTCATATAAACTCACATTTACTACAGGTCAATTTAATGCGCTACTCTGCAAATAAACTCTGAATCTCTCTCACAAATAAAAGCATCACCTGCAGACAGCTTGGATCACAAACCAAAAGCACAACAAAACTTAATCTTATATATAAAAGTCTGGATTTACTATCTATTCCAATAGAAAACCAAAAGTAACAATACAGAAGAGACAGAGATAGAACTCAGGGTTCCTTTGTCAAGGATATATTAAAATTTTAGCTTTTCTATCCATACCGGCTATTTTAAAAATGACACATTAAAAATATTAATGAGAAACACACCTTGCATTATTAAAAGGCACAAAAACATTTTGAAAGAGTTAATTTCAATGAAAGAATCACCTGTTCAAAAAAAAAAACAGCAATAGCTAAGTGATAAAAGAAAGTTTTTCTCCCTCTTGAAAGAACACTAACATAGTAAAGCCTTCCTTTTTTAGAAATCATGAATATGCTTTCCAACCAGATTTACGAGTAAGAGGAGAAACTTTTTTTTTTTTTTACCACCATGGGAGGAATATTCCATTCTGATCTCATCCAAATTGGATGGCAGAATCAGAAATCTTCTTATAGAGATAAATATGATGTCTCAAAGTCCAGATTCATAGTGGCTTTTCTACAGCTTGTTTAAATAATGAGTTTTCAAGATACTGAAAAATACCTTATTTAGTTTGCCTGTGAGCATATCACATTCTATCATGAGTCTTGCATGTGCATTAAGTACGCATAGTAGACACATGACTACATTTTTCTTATGGAGTGAAAACACATACTTGGTGTGCTAATGCCAAGAAATAATAAAACACAGCATGGAACGCATCCAGTCAGGCACCATGAGCTGCAGACATCTGAATCATTAAGAGTGATGGTTTGGGACTCCGGTACTCCACAGCGAAACCTTTGCTTGGGTAATAAAAAGCATGATTTTTTTTGTTTGTTTGTTTTAAAACTCTTTCTTTTCAAAAATGCATATTTATTTTAACTTTATAACAAAAGTTGTAGCATTATCTATTTTCCCCAATAACCTGTATGCATTATATTGACATAATATATTATTTTTACATGTTCCTTGTCCTCGTAGTTTCTATCAAACTAATGGCCTGTGCTATTAGTTTGCCATTAGATTACCTCTGTAATATACTGCTTTTGTGTGACACATGCAAAATGTTAAAGTAGTATGTAGGCTGATAGTCATTCTTTTGATCCCAAGATACAGTTGCAGATAATTAAACTCTCTTTTAATGCATATGATTCAAGCTAATGCTGGTGAATCCTGAAGCTTTGTCAAGCCTGAACCAGGCTTTGTCAACACTGGTATCTTAAACTTTGACTTTTCATTGAATGAATATACACTGAACTGATATGCAGCTAGGAAGTCAATGACACAATATATGTATTTTATATTGGAACTGCAATGGATTCTCTTTATTCTTTAATAAAGCCTCTCTTGAAGTAATAAATACTTTATCTCAAAGACAAAAGGGGCATTCTAAGTGGCACAAAGCTGGGGCAAAATGAATTTCAAGAATATAAAACTTTCCTTTTGTAATCCCATCAGAACTTGGACTGGAAAAGGAAACAAAAAGGAGTTGTTTTAAACTATACTATATTGTCTGTTGTGCTTTGGGGCTTAATAATTTGGGAAACTGCAATACATGCCAAGTTGCAGAGTAAAATGGAAAAAAAAATCAGGATTTCTCCAGGGACAATATGCAATGTCTGCTTTGCAAATTTAAGGGAA